CACACACCTGGTGCAGGTTTGTCATTTTTTCTTAATGCAAAGAAACTTCTGTGTCACTTAAACTTTTGAAACCCTTTATCGGGATTATTAGTTATGGATATCATGTTGAGTCCCTACGTTTATACCAGTGTATTTGATTATAAGACGTTTAAAGAAATTTTCCGTGTGAGCCTTTACTCCTTTTATTACTATTTATTAATATAGTGAGAAATATGCACTCGTAGGTGCGCAGAAGGACGGTGACGGTGAATGGCGAATAGTGCAATTGTGGGCAACCGAAATAGGCCAGGCGGTTGTTCGTAAGTAATAGGTCTCTTGTAGAGAAGATGACAATTAAAATTCTTTTATATACGATTACAATAGATAAATGCTCGCATGTAGGTACTCGTAACTGATTTCGTGTGCTTCATTGACCTAAATTTCAGAAGGTGGGTACCATCTTAAAACATTGTAAATTTCGGTACCTCCTTTTTATTTCGAGTAAACGTGACCTGACATCGCTATTATCTTTAGGAACGGATTTTGTAATTGTGTTGTATTTTTAATAGACATTCTCTGGCAATACGCTTCGTGTAATACTTATTTCGGTAAGTTAATGGTAAAATCGATAGCAGTTTCGCTTTTCGGTATGTATTTAGCGATTTGCGTCAAATTACTCACGGCTGTGGATAAATTTTGTATGCTATGACTAATGGTTGGGTAAGGAGTTGAATATGAATATGCAAATACAAAAAAAGGCGATTACTTTATATTTATACAATAACTAACAACTGCAAAATCCCTGGTCATGCGACTCGATTGAACAAGAAAAAAAATTAATGGACAGCTTGACTTTTTCTTGAAAATGTCAAAAATTTGAGATCAGATCCTACATGTAATCGTCATTAATATGAAAAGTGAAACGGGAGCTCGCAATAGCTCATTTGGTTTAATTAAATATTTTGTTTTTTTTTGAATTAATTAAAAGCACATATGGGTATGGACGATATTTCAATTTCATTTTAGCAGCTGCAAGGGTTTTAAGGGTGATTTCTTCCATGTTAGGTCTGGTGCATTTTTTGGGGTTGGGATTCTTAAAATTAGTTCCCATAAGATTTATCATTCTTGCCAAGTTTTTTGAAAAATGTCAGGTTGTATTATGGACGCGCAATTTTTCAAATGTACGACATCATGATGCGGATGGTGATCTCGAGTAGGTTTAAAATTGAATCAGGATGTGTGGATGCTTAATGGGTCGACCTCGACAGTCAGGCGGGTGGTGATACCAAATCGTTGCGTGAACAGTTCGCCCGATTCGACCCTTTGCGTACTTACGTTTCGGTTGTCTTAGTTCCCAACCAGGGATGGTACATTTCGATTGGTTGGCTCAGGTGAAAGGGGTTCCCGAGTTTTGTTACGAATACGCGTTTCTGGTTCCGTTTCGGTTCTTCTAGCGGGCGTTTTGGCGAAGGGAAAAAGAGAAAGAAGAAAAGCGATAGCTCGAAAGTAAAGCTTTGAGGAGCATTACGTACAAATAATCTAATATAGACAATTGCGGAATTGAACGCATAAAATAACATTGTCAATTAATCGCGATTCTCGCTACAAGACCGCCCGTATATTCATTAACTTTGATCGTTGCAATTGTGAGCTTACTTGTTGATATCCTTGATCTGGGGCAAAAGCTGAGACCGCACGGATTTGGACTTAGTAAATTTGGGACATAAACGTATTTCAAATTTTTAACTGCACATATTCTAATATTCTAACCAATACAAGTGACATAAATACTTTAGGGGTGCCGTAAAAACGTTGCCAGATTTTAATAAATTGTTATTCTATCATCTGAAGTACTTCTTCACTGGACGATGTAATAATCTTTTAACCTTAATGTTTTATTAAGATTGCATAACTTCTTCGGCACACTTTATCACATTACTGGCGAATTACGTTTTCAATTCACAGGCTGACTGCTCGTAGACTTAGCATAAAGAAAAGAACAGACGTCCTTTTGGGTTTTGCCTTATTTCCATTTCGAAATTGACGGAGGTCGTTGAAAAAGTATGGTAAATACGTCATTCGGTTGTAATTTCCACATTACAGGTTCGTACAGTTGCAATGTTTCTACTCACCTGTAATACGTACTATTGCAATTTTGTGACGTAATGTTAATTATATTATACTTCAAAAATCAAAATGCAGTACGTACGGAAATCATATAAATGGGCAATTCTCTCGGCAATTCTTTCTAACTTAACGCTCCACTGACCAAAAAATACAAGTTAAAAAGTAATCGTAAACGATTTACAAAAAGCGCATTTCCACTTGCATTCATTTCCCATTTGTAAGATGCAACTTCTGTTAAAATCGTAAAAATCCGGCCACAAATATGAAAGATAGCGTTGCACATGGGCACTCCATTTTTGACGTGCTACTTCAATTTCAGTTTATAAGCAGAATTTCATTTCAATGCTTTTCTAAATAAGAAAGTCGGAACTGCGCGTGCGCAAATCTAAATTTTGAAACTGGCGTTAGATTTTTTGAAACTGGCGTTAGATTTTCCTTTATTCAAATACTTTTATAAATAAAAAAGTTTGCAATTCGGTTTATAAATGGTCGAGGTGCGAAAGGGGCACTGTGAATTTTGAATCGATTCGACTCAACTTTTGGCATTGTATATTATATGGCTAAAGCTATGGCCATATTGAATTTATAACTAACGGAGCTGTCAAAGCGATCGGACATTTCTAAACAAAGGTATCGGTCACACGGACAGATAGAGGGACAGACAGACAAAGGAACAGACGGACAGACCAACAGACAGACGACAGACAACAATACAAAATTATAAACGATCTCTAGGATCGTTAATAAACGGCAAAAGTGTAAAATTATGGAACATTTTTTGGTTTTTTTACAATAACTTTTTTAGCAATAAATGCAGAAAAAATTCCTTCCTTGGTACAAGACTCGACACCATAACGAACCAAATAGCGAGAAAAGTAGAACAATAGCTCTTAAGATAAAGAACTAGTAGCGTCTCAATGAACGAGCGGGCGGACGGACGGACGAAGTGGCCACAATAGCGCATTTTTTTTTAATTTTTGTGGAAATGCGCTAAATAGCTAACTATTCTCTGTAGTATCATTATCTAATATTAAATTCAAATGGAAAAACTTTATTTTACTCCAGATGGGTCCACATATGAGAAATTATATACATGCTGATTTATCTACTTTTAATTTTTTTAAAACCATTTACAGTGAATAACCGAATTTATAAGAGTTTTAAATTACTATTTAAGTGGAAAAAAATTACCTTTCCATCACTTTAAAAAAAATCGGTTTTTATTATTTACATATAAAAATATGGCTACCTTATTTATACAGTATAAACTAACGGTTATTTTCTGATCTCGAAATGCTGATTCATCCACTCCCTCAAAAAAATGTAGGTATTCCGAAGGCAAGCGCCAAGGTCATTAGAAGAATATGTGCGCATATTTTATAGTTGACTACTGCAGATTAACTCATGTAGTTTTATTTTAAAATAATACCTTATATGTTTAGTTGTACACCGCTATCCATACTCGCAATAGTGTCCGGTATTTCGTAATTCAACAAGGTTACGTGATTTTAATTCTTTGTGGTTTAAAACTTCCACTATTGTTCCGAATTACCGTAATAGTTCCTAACCCTTTCAAATGAAGGTAATTAAGAACGCATTAATTCACAGTTTTACGAGTGGTAGATTGATTCGCACAATTCTTCTTCTTCTGAAGATGCACGCAAATATTACACCCTCTCGATTTTAGAATGCCTCACTAATATATAAAAACACTCTGCGATAAATTGCAGGTAGTCGAAATAACTACGCTGACTACTTCACCATTCATTTTTTAATATAATATACAATTCACACTACGATAATTTACGGTAGTTGATTTAGCTAATGCCCTGGCGGTTCTAAAGGCGAATTCTCTCGCGGTTCGATGGGATTTTTCACAAAATATAAATCCACCCCGCGCTAACTTACAGCCAATCGATTTTCGAACCGCTCAACGTGATCGTTCTCAAGGCTCAACGCGCATTTTAATACTCTCGCGGTTCGACGCGGATTCTCTCTCGGCTCAGTCGCAATTACCGCACGGGTCTCTCGGAATAACCACCCTTCCACTACTTTACTTTTTTTATACACAGCTATCCAGTGACTTAACCGTTTCCATCAATCAAAATTACTTTTTCCATCTAATCAGAACGCTTGAAACTTATAACAATTAATTTCCATTTACAGCACTTGATCTGATGCTAAAAACTGCCGTCTTTTAGGTACACTACTGTATTGATAGGCCGACGAAACCTCGCATCCTTCAACAAATCGGCTTCAATAGGTGCTTTCAGCATCAATTTCGTACGTAATCAGTTTTCAAAATATCTTCTAGTCACTTTGTTAGTATTTGTAGAACACTTTTTCACATTGAGTACTTTTAAAGATGCTCTACGAATAACAGTGTTTCCCATTGATTAATCGACCGTGTAAACAAACTTCCCAAAATGGTTTGACTTTTCTTTTTTCTCCTCATTGACACATTTGTTCGCCACTTTTCTGTAGACTTATATTAAAGGCTTGTTACTTAAAATTAGTCCAATTCAAATAGGAATAGAAAGCAGCATTGGGTGTTTTAGATGGGTCGAAGTCATTGTACTCTGTACATTAAAAAAAAAGTCCATTAGAAAAGGTGCAAATTATGATTTCACTTTTTTACACCTTATCAAAAACAATTAAAATAGGTTAAGTGCCGTTTTATTGTTGGCTGCAATGTTGTAATACTTATAATCGGCGCAAAATAATAATTACTCGAGGAGAAATTTACACAACAACGTGCCGCTAAAAATCGAAAGCGACAATCTTCAAAGACTGTGTCACGTTAGCGGAATGTCATTGACAGTGACCCACATTCCAAAGAAGCGTAAAAATTCGCCACAATATTTCATTGAGTAATATTTCCTCTTGCGTTTCAGATACTGCCGGTGTTTGTCGCATTTTTGGAATTGAACGCCCTCGAAAATGACAAACCCGCGCCGACCATCGCACGGACGGAGATACGGGTGGCGAAGAACTTGAACCCGGACGACACGCAAACCCTGAACGTAATGACGAGGGATGGCAGTGTGGCGCAGCTGATAGTGAAAAGACGGGACGGTAAATCAAAATTGGGCTCTTCGCGAAATGCGAAACCCTCGCAGACCAAGGAAGAGGGAAACGTCTACGCGAATTGGAGTAACGGTCAACCTGTCTTCTTGCAACCCCATGGTATGCGTTTGGAAAACTTGGCCGTGGTGAAGAATGCTAGTGACGATAAGCCAGGAAGTATCATTAGCAGCAACAGGTGAGATTTAGCATGTATTGCGGAACTATTTCAATCAGATTGAATATTAATTATGTAATGGGGAGTACAATGGTATCGCCTGGACGATTTAGTGCAGAAAGTTTACTGCTTTTTTTGTGGGTCTGCACAGTATCACAGTATAAACAGTTGACTCTTCTTCGTCTACCATATGGTGGAGCTTTTTCCTGGCGGAAAATACCTTCTCAATTATTTTAATGTTTTATTCTTAAGCGTGAGATTTCTATTCGATTATGTATGCGGCTATCATTTCTCATACGCTCACACCTGCAGATTTATTGCTAGAATGTGTGGGTATATGACTACTCGCAGCCTACATAGCTTCTGATTTGATTAGAGGAAACTGTATGGTTTTGGTCTCATTTCAAAGTTTCTGACGCAAATTTGAGGTTATTTTTTAATTATTTGTATCACTCGATCTAATGTCTGTAATTTGAAATATTGACTAGGCGGATTCACTGATTTTCTTTATTGACACTAAGTATACGTCAAGATATTTTATACAATAAGCCAATAAGAGAAAATTAAAACTGATAAAAAGATATTAAGGGTTCTAGAAATTAATAGATTATGAGGGAACGAGATAGTAGAAACAGCCGCAGCCGAGCGGACTGTAAAATGGATCTAAAAAAGCGACAGGGTATCAGTGACCCTACGGATCATTGGATTCAGCCCATTTTCAATACGCTTGTTACATGGAGCACATAGGTCAACTGTGCAAAGTTTAAACCGAATCGGTCCCAAGCGTTTGGCCGTTATCGTGTTCACGGACTATCGACTCCGCTATAAAGCTTGAATTGCTTAATAACCCCTTTCCCAGCTCCACAAGGTTGCTTGATTTCTGTTCTGAAATTTTTCTTTAGACGAACTCTTCTCCTTCCTAACCCTTTACATTTTTTCAAGAGCGCCAAACAGAAAACCGAAACGGAACAGAAATTCCACCAATACCCACATCGGTACTCTCCGCCGCGTTTCTCCAATCGCATTCTCTATTCTTATCTGTAAACTGTGCTGTTCAGAAAAGACCCCATCTGCAAACAGGGCGGCTCGCGTCTGTTCTTACCGCAACAACTTTCCAAACTCATCTGGCTGTCGTCATTAAATCTACTAGAGATTACCATTGACATGGCATTAGCGGCCGTAATTCAACTCAAATAAAATTTTAAGAAAATTAAACCCGTAGCGGGCTCCCGTTACATCATTTAGCAGTTATTAAATCCAGTTTCATAAAAATGGGCCTGTTCTCCAATTTTAGGAATGTAAAACTCTTTTCTTTTACAAATCACTCTTACGGAAAATCTTGACGGTCATCTTTTAGTCCGGCTATGGTTGGAAAAATTGAATATTTGACGTTTGATAACGCCACTCATAAAATCATTGATATTGCTGTGTAAAAAACGCCTGGTAGACGTTATTTCGGTTTAAACACCTAAAATAATGACGGGATTGGAATTTTTCCAATATATCAAGAGTAGTAAATCAGGGGGTTATTTACGGTTAAGCACACAATTGGGTTATTTCATTTGAATTTATATTTCTGTGTGATATTTTTCCTTTTAGAATTGTGTATTGGTTATTTAGATGTGTGTATTTAATTGTAAAAAATAAAATTACGTGTTAAAATGTAGGACCATCTGGTTAAGTTTGTGCACGTTATGTCTTGTTGTTTTGCGATAAGGAGTCTACCCGGACGCGTTGTTTTATTGCTGTTAGAAGATATAGCGGATTATGCAGGTGTTTAGCAATGTGCATATTAGTTCTGTCGAATCTGGCGTTATCAAGGCTAATTATGATTGTCGCTTTATTTGTAAAAACCAGAAGGAGTTTTATTTTATTTTGCAAGTGGTGTTTCGTTAAATACTGCTAGTCGAAGGCTGCTAGAGAGCTGGTTTTGCGACGGTCGGAAAGGTTTTTGTACACTATTTTTATTCGAGCATTTCACTCTATTTGATTGATTGTTTGTTGTACAGAAGAAAGTTAATTAAAGTCGTTACAAATTTGTGAGAAGTTTCAACGCGTGTTGTCCGTATGCGGAAATAGTTAGTCAAGTTGCAGCAGATTTCGTGCAACGTAAATTCTTCAGTTGAGGTTCTCTTGTTGTTTAACAATCATGAGTGACTCAGTGGTAGAAAGTTGGGCTACACAGCCGGGAGGTCGGGTGTTCGACCCTGAATTGAGGTGAATTTTTCATTTGTGGCAGAGATGCGAATTTCCTTAGTTCAGGTCCGAGTATTCTGCCGGCTACTCCGAATTAGGTTTTCCTGCAGTTTTCCTAATTCGTAGGGTAAATACCGGAGTAGTATACGACAACTTAAGACCTTCTTCACGGGCACCTCTAAAAAGCATTATGCGGATCACTCTATAATTGGACAAAAGTTCAGAATCTGTCGGCGCTTGTTTGTGGAGTTAAGTGCGCCTTGTTTATCGCAAACCGTTGAACGACCAGATTATTAGGAATATTAAAAGAGAAAAAATACTGTAAGTATCAGATTTTCTTTTTTTTTTGTCGACTGCCTGCGTGCGGGGTAATTTGTCCAAACAAGCTTTGCAGGATCTGCTCTTTCTTTCATAAATTTTGTTTAATGTTCTATTCATGTGTTTCGGAATCAATGTTTGTCATTGTCAATCAATTAATTGTGTGTTTAATCGAACCCAATGTCCGACCCGGATAGAGTTTTCATGTCCGATTTTTATTTCTCGTGGGCAAGATTTGTGTCAGACAGTCTATGTAGTCAATCCTTTGGAATTTTCAGAAGTTGACTGAGGCTACCGTTTCTCCCAAATTATTCATTTAAGTCAATATTGGGATTTTTCTTTGTGGCAAATGCCGGATGCGTACGAGGAGAGATAATAAAAAAATCAATTCAAATTTCAATTTTGTTTTTCTTGAGCTAGCTGAACAGGCATTTTGTGGGTGGTGTTGACCGCATCCATTGCACACAGTATTATTTACGCCCCAACGTGGAGCCATAGCATTATTTACTTGTGCGCCCAACGTGGGGCCACTGCACTATCTATCATAGGTCTACCCATTTAGTCCTGTTCGTTCTTAATTCGACACCTGTTTTTCGTTAATTGACTTTAGTTATTTTAATCAAATTTGGAGTTATTGAAATATCAAGTAATCGCAACCCCATTTCCATAATATCACATTGAAAACTAACTCAGAAAAATACAATGTAACTATAAACCAAATAATGTGCTCAATTGACAATGTTCCTATTTGGCAGAACGTTTTCCTTTTCCGCTCTTCATCCGTAAATATATTAACGCACACAACAAGACCATGCCAGGGACAGGAAATGTTAATGAGAAGGCCCCTACTCGCATTGCTAAGATTCTGAGAACTGCAATCCGCACGAGACGAGTAGGCAAGAGATACAGCGAAAGATTGAACTGCATTAGGTATACCTACTCCACGGAGACAGAATGACCCACTCGCACACACAAACATCGAGCCCCCCCCCCCTCTCGTATAGGTAACGCACAAGAACTGCAGCGCCCCACGAGCCAGAAAGTAACAGATACAGCGAACAATCAAACTGTATTAGGGACTTCCCTCACGGAATACTTAATTAAACAAAATAATGGCATAATCATCTGTACAGGATAACAAACACGATTCATCTAACGGTACTCAGGCATGGAGTACGCCATGATTCAGATATCGTAGTTTATGCAAAATCAGCAAAATGTAAATAATATCAAATTGTGGCAAGAAATTCAATGATTAAATAGCTAGTACAAGAAAGAATTAAATGGTTACTACCTGTAAATACACCTTGAAAACACCACCACCAAAATAATTAAGAATAAAAAAACCGGGAACGCGTGATGCCTTCCGTCGACCTCGTCGCCATCTTCTTCATTTTCCCCTAGCGTCGTTACCAAAATCCCCTAGTATTCGGCATCTGCGCAAAACGGTCGATTGGTTATACAGAGCATATCATATTTTTGTTTCAGATGTAAAGGTGTGTTGGATTGGGTGCATTATCACAATACAATGCCAATGTTCAGCTGAGTCGATATTAATTTTGCCCAATTTATCAAGTAGGTTTTCTTGCGGGCGTCAATTAGTTGTCGTTAAATTTCCAGCTGTATGTCGTTGTATACAAAAAGTTACTTCACAAGGCGCTGTCTAATCACGTTATTCAACTTTGCGAAACTTGCTTTTAACTAGACGTTACTGTTAGCGATGATCCGAAAAAAATATTTATCACGATGTTTTAATGGCAATTTATTTAGTCGCGGTTTGGTTTCAAACGCGGTCCTATTGCTCGGAATTGGCTATTTGAGTAGGTTTTTATGACTCCAAAATGAAGGGCCTTACACAAAATTATACTTGCAGGTAACTCACACTTTGTCACCAACCTGAGGATAATTATCCCGAAAATGCATACGTTGTATCGCTTTTATTTTCAGACATATTTTCGTTCACGTCCACCATGAAGCGGTGTAAATCTATGTTGAACAAAATACAAATTCAAAACTAAATTTTTGAAAGGGCAAAGCGGCCACTTGTTACAAATTCGTGGAATGGAATCTGTTATATGCCTTTGATGGTTTCTTCGACTTGTTCTTGGTGATAAACCTTCGCGTCAGGAATATATGCGAATGAAATAGTTCTTATTTTTTAAATACTCCGTTGGAAGAAAATACACATTAGTAAATGGGTAGGAGGCAGTACTTGAAACACGTAATTGGAAAACACGTTCGGTTACAGTTCATTAACAATTCACTAGTTTGATTGGACATGCACATTTAAAACGTTTCAGCCACGATAACATTCGTGTTAAGTTCATAATTTGAAACAAGGCACAAACGCACAATGTTTATTAACTAATGTAAATGACTGATGACTCGTATCTCAAATGAAAGTAATGCGGAGATATTGAGATTACTCAATAAGCTTTTTCTAAGAGACATGCAAAGAAAAAATTTATCAAATCTTTTTAAAAAATCAAAAATAAATAGGTTTAAGAAAGATATTAATAGACAAAATCAAAAAATTGCTTTTTGACGTTTGTCTGAAATTTCATTAACTTAAGCAAGAGTGCAAGAGTAAGAGCTAAGTCGGAATTTTGGGGGTGATTGTCATCAGTGGTCATTTAAGTGGAACCTTTTTTTAAAATTCCAAATCGGTCTCCGTTCCCTTACGGATTGGGGCAGAAATCTAAATGCACATACAGAGTGAAAATTTTGTCTGGAATAGGTACTGCATATAGCTTCAAAACAACATTTTTTTAAAGAAACTTTTTATGGTTTCCAAAATTATAAATAATTAGCTACCATTCTATGTACTTTGAATTTGTGGTCAGTGGCGTACCCTTGCATGGTCAAAATTTTCTTTAATTTGATTATGTAGTATAATTACTTTTTTATGCTGTTATACCAAAAAAGGTGGACTCTTGTAATGAAAACTAGCTCTGTTACCATTAAAAAGAATAAGCCCCCTATACCATGCAAAAGTACGCCATTGACCACAAATTGAAAGTACTTAGATTGGAAGCAACCTATTTATATTTTTGGATATCATAAAAAGCTTCTTTTTATAGATATATTGAGTGTATTAAAGTATTAACACTTAACTTAACAAAACTGGAAACGATTTTTTTGACAAATTGGACAACCGAGTTGTTAATTTAGATCTGATGAAATAATAAAGTTATAGTGTGTGAGGTGCATATCAGAACGTAACCCTTAGCGATAGTGTAGTGAACCACAGAAACAGATAAACATCATTTATTATTATATGTACTACTAAACAATATTAATATACTCATGCAGCTTAGGTAGAGCAAGGTTCTAATTGGGCTATGATTTCTTGATAAGCTTTTGCAACTTTAGCCTCACTGAAGCATACGGTTCCTCCGCCTCTTTGCCTTTGCGCGGTCTACAAATGAGAACCCATTAGCATCTTATTCAGTTTTACCCGCTATACTACTAACCACTCGGTTTATGTCTCCAATACAAACCCAAAACGCGTTCTCCTTGCTTGTGGACGCAACCGCCCACTTTGAATGGTCTACAGAGGCTTTGAAAGACACATTTGCCGCAGCAATTTTCAGAGATTCTACATTGTTGACTCTACAAAAAAACACTGATGTGTTGTTAGCTTGATTTCCACATACTTACTTAAAGTGTATTTCACATTCCGAAGGTATTTTTCCCGGACTGTTCAGCCAGGTTTCCGCGAATAGATCGTAGCCGATTACCGGCGCGACCCAATCTAGGTATAACTCCTTCGCGAACTTGGGCCCTTTGGCGAACGACGTGAATTCGGTACCTCCCAGTGAACGCAACGTTTGCAAGTGGTACCATGGCGGACTTTTGTTGGAGTTGTTCTCAAGAACGTTGGCGATCTTCGGAAACATCCATTTCAAAGTGTCGGGCATGTTGTGCGCGAACATGTTGGGCAAATTGTACAGCAGTTGCGTACCTGCCAAAATGAAAGTTTAAGCTACGATTCTAAATGGAGCGGTTACGTGCCGACCAAATCCAGATTTTCAACACCAAGCGATATGCATAAGAAGCTTTGACCGTAGGTCATTCCGTTGGCTGGATAGACGTAGTGGTGAGCGTCAAGAGATGGAAACCGTGGTACTGAATGTACCAACCAAATGCCACCATTGTTGTTCCCTAGCAGAACTCCTTTAGTGTGGCCTTTATTGAAATTTACTGAGCCATCTGGATTTTCGTCATTGTAGAGAATATACACGTTGTTTTTCTGCAAGATCATCGAGAGTCAATCAGTTAACAAACCATGCAGCGTTTACTTCCGTAAATAAGGGTTTTAAGGTGAGCCCTACGATTGAATTGGCGTCTCCTATTGAGATGGATGATAGTTTCCAATCACTTATATCATTAGACGTAATGTAAGTATATGCGACGCCTTCGGAAATTAATCGATTCGGGTGGTGATCTTCCTTGGGTAATTTATATAACACGTACCTTGAAAAATTGAAAGTTTAGTCATAAGGGAATTATGTAGGTACTTTACCAATCAACTGGATTGTTGTTGTGATCCATACATTGTAGGGCATACGATCTACAATACAATAAGACGAAAATCACAAATACAGCATACATAACTGACGAACAACAGACACTGTGTTGATAATATGTCAACGATAAATTACTAACAGATAAATATAACCTTGAGTTTATCACTCATTGCTGTAAAGGTCATCAATCTGTAACTACTTCTGTGTTTGCTAGGTATAGACTCGTAACAAGATCAATTAGTTACTACCTTTGTAAATATATTCGTGGGACTGTACCCAAACGTAACTTTTTCATACAACTTTATTGTTAATGTTTAAATCATTTACACGTGAGACAATAAAAAAAAGCTTATCGACAGTAGTAAAAGTACGTCCCTATTGCTCTTGGTATGAAACCTATTTTTTTTATTACATGGGTGTAAAAAAGGGACACCACCGCCATAATCCTCTTTGAATTTTAATTTTGTAGCCAAGGTACCGGCATTATGTATCGTTTGTGCTCAAAAAGGTTGTTCAGTATTTTGGAAACTACTAAAGTTAGGGATTTTTCCGCTTACAAGAACACAACAATACTTTTTAACGAACATAAAAAATAGCATAAGCGTCCTCTTCGCGTTCCCTGGGTAACGCTGGTTGTGTGTGGAGTGGGGGGGGGGAGGGGGTTGAAAGAGGAATGTTTTGCGCCCTATAACTGTACTGGAAATTGGCTAATGGAATTAACTCTAACAAAACACCCTCTAACTAGATACTTATAATCTTTAGTTGTAATAGAATGAATTGTAATCAGTAATAAATTTCACGTTAATTCAAATTAATTCACGTTACTTCAAATTAATTCAAAGGTACACCAAAAATTCAAAGTTGTTTCCCCTTAGTGAAAAACAACCCACACGGAAACTACCACAAGCACAGTGCAGATCCTCTACAGAAACCTAATTGTCTAAGGGTGTAGAGAGTTATAGTCTAAGTGCCAGCGACAGACAACCCGTATGCAAATTAAATCCGAAATTTTGCTCAGTGAGTCTCTTATACCTACCACCCATGAGATGGGGGTGAGGGGTGCTATAATTTCATCACTTCAGTTTCCTCTGTATTTCTCCTGCAGTTTTTGGAATATTAGCTCAAATTTGGAATATAAGTTACGCCGAAGTGGTTACATCATTTGGTCATGTCAAGTAGTAAGAATGTAGGTATAGGGGTCATGTTTCATTTTCTACCCCTTTTTTTCGGTCAACCGCTGGTAAATTGTAAAATGAAAAATTAATTTTCTGGTTTGTTGAGAAACTTTTTGATCTTTTGTAATTTTTTTGTATCTGCGACCGTTATTGAGCAAAAAAATAAAAATCAATTTTATGCTAAATAAAAGTAAAATTTTGAAAATGGTCCAGTAAGCTCTGGTGCTATTTGAATGAGTCTTATTTTATTAGTTTGGCCAGTTCGCATATGAAACTGGATCTTGTGATTGCATATGTTTATAAATTAAAGGTTTAAATTGCAAAGTGTACGGTGAAATTGTAACACCCTGTTAATTGGTAAGGAAACGTTTGCGCCCATATGTTTATATGAACTTTTAGTCATAAAATAAGTCACAGAATTGCTTCCTTCCGTATGTAAATACATCATGTTTAGGTACACCCTGTATATGAGCATTTCTTTTTCCCGTCGATGCTATTGTATCCTTTCTAATCTATTTTTTTCTTATGGTTCTCATTAACTTAGTCCGATTGTACTATTTACAAGGACAATATGATCTCTCCTTCAGGTATAAACTGTCGAATATTCGAATAAAGAGAATGAGAACCATAAGAAAACCAGTATAAATTGTACACAACTGCAGATAAAGCGCATTTTTTTAAACCGAAATAGCTTTTGTTTTGACATCACCAATGGATATATTTCTTGCAGACGTCTCAATCGCCCTTTGTGAGTACCCTCTTCCGACAATCCGTTCTTGAGGTACAAGGAGGGAATATGCCCGATCACGATAAGAGGTCGAGGAGGAGGGCTATGCTTGGTAGAAATTAATTCCTTTCGTTGAGATCTTTCATTAGAGTACCAGAGTACGTTTTACTTTGAAAAACAGCATCTCAGGAAATAATTCGTGGGGGAGGGGCCCTTTTAGACAGCGAAATTTGATGGCCGTCTGGCATACCTTCAAGGTATAGGCTACCTACTGCAAAAAATTCCAGGACTCTAGGACCATTCACTTAGAAGTAGTTCAAAACGGTAGAAGTGGGTCCGGACGGAAGGACGGACGGACAAAACGCAAACAATTGCACATTTTTTTTAATTCTTAAAAAATGCGCTAAAAATAGGTTAGAAGGAAGGAATGCAATAGTACTATATCGAAGGGAAAAAGATGCCCCCTATAAACGTCAATCTTGATTTAATCCAATCTAATCTTTATTTAATAATGGAACGTTTTTGTTTAAATAATCGCGTTGTTTATGTTAATTATTTTATTGTAAAGCTGAATATTACGTGTAAACAGATTAAGTTTAATCATTTATAAATAATGGCGTATTATTTTAAAGTTTATCTCCGGTCATTGCGATAAGAATTTCTTATCGGTACGTAAAGATTATTAAGTTTGAAGATAAGTAGGTTTCGCCGATAAAAAATCACAGGTCGATGACGCATGAATTTGGGTACAGAAGTAGGAGAAACAGAACTGAAAGAGGGAAGAATGTGTTAAATAGCAGAGAAAGACGTGAATCGGTGTTATTTTTTGGTGGTTGCCGTCTTTTGTTCGGTGGGCGTTTTTAGAGTATGGCAGTTTGTCGCAATCGAGTTTGTTTTTGAAAGACAATTAATCTTGTTTAATTGAGATTTAAGAGATTTGATGAATGCGTCGCTGTAAAAGTGAACGATAACTCGAGTCGATCAGAAACGTTTGTTTACGCTTACGAAAACGTTAGTCGGAGTGTTGTGCCTTTGGTGCGTTTATCGTTTATGTGCCTTTAAGGGTTTAAGGTCTTCAAGTTTTTCCACCATCAAAGAGCCAATATAACATCTATAATTCAAACAAATCCAGTGTCATATAAATCGAGTGCAGTCAAAGAAATGAAGTTTCGAAGTATCATCGGTTGCTGTTTGTGTGTTTGTGCGTCTGTTTGAAGAGAATCGCACTTATGACCGAATTTTAGGAATTATTAACACTTTTAGGTAATTAAGATTTCTTTTAATTAACTTGTTTAATCGACCAATTGCGCGTGGTATTGTCCGCTGGCCCTGTGCGGCATTGCTTATTTCAGCTTTATTATTGCTTGATTTATGTTGAATAAATTGGGTTCATCTGTAAATGATTAGATTTGTGTTTAGTCGAGCCCAAATTACAACCTAGATAAGAGTTATCATGCCAAATTCTCTGTTGGCTCTCTGACTGTTCCTCTCGATAGCATTTCAAATTCCTCTTTAGCTTGTCACAATTTCCTCATCAGCCGCCCTCAATTTCCTCAAATGGTAAAAAATTTACAAAATTTAGAATTGTTAAAAACATACATACATCTGAAAGGTGAATCTGATTTGAAGGCAAATGAGGACGAGAAAAAGTTACGTAACCAATAGGTTACTTCATATTCGTGATAAATCTATGGCCATACTCCTGTTTATCCGTTGACGACGTAAACGAAATGAATAAGTCAGGGAAGCAGGAGTTTCATCATCATAATATGATGTCCTGTTTGTACCTACCAGAAGATATTATCAAGTATTATTAATAATTTAGTTGTGCAGTGGATCCGTTTTCTAGTACAGAAACGTTTAGTTCCTATTATCGCAGTCATTCAAAAATGAAATAGCAGTGACAAATAACTGCTATTATTTTAACATTAGCAGTTCAAATGTTACAGTTGAAATTTCATAGAACTGAAAACAGTTACTTAATCTTGATTTACTACGATAAAAAATGCAAAATGATATCACGGTCTATATATCTGTTAGACAACCGTCTTTTTTGTTTAAGTGGGTTGATGCAACGAACACTAATATTATTATATAAGACGATAAAGGGATATTGAGTGAAAGATGTTCACGAGATTGTTAGTTTTCCTTTATCGTCGTGTATAATACAAAACTTTATTTTATAGCAGAAGTCATATAAATCATTGTAAAGCTTCTGATAATTCTGAATTTAACTTAGAACTCAAAAATAGCAAGCTAAGGTTCTGCTGTCGTTGTCGTTTCCATAGAAACAGTATTGTAATGTGTCCTAAATGTCATTTTATGTCGTGCTCGCGTTGTAGCGTAAACAACGGCATTACATCATCTTTGAGATTGGTCCAGTAAAATTTTTCCACAGTTTTGTTAACTTCCAATTGTCCACCGGCCGTCCCATCATGCAGCTACTTCAGTAGGTACTTCTGTAATCTTCTTTCTAAGAACCAAGAGCTGTTTTATTTCCTCGCGATCATCTTCGTTTCGTAGGGTCCGCGTGGGGAAGCCATAATTGTCCTTGGAAGCGAAGTTGGGTACCTATAAAACATATGCGTTATGTTTAAAAAACGCGAATTCTAGTAGTGATCCTAATACACAAGGGATAATTTAAGGTTCAGAAACTATTACGATAAATACGAACAATACAGGAAGTTCTAAACTTGTGACCCGGAAACTAGAAGAATGTCATTTTGTGCGCCCGCAATTTATTCCACAACACTTTTGATTGTTGGAGTTCTATAAGACACCCTGCGATAAGTTACAGGTGGCAGACCTAAGTGAGCTGGTGGCTCAACGCGAAACGCGAAATCTTATAACCAAGTCATATTAAAATTCTTTTCTAACCACTTGAATCGTTAATCTGCCACTACATCGCTTTCGGTGCCAAAATCTTCACAATTCCTGGTCGCCTACTACACAAAAACACTTACAAATCGCGAGTACCGGAGTTTCATCTCAGTACGGTTCCAAAACTGGTACTACCGCGTGTCAGACTACTATTGTCTAAAATCATAACAATTGGGAAATATAAAATCTCAAAAACTAAATGCAGATCGAATCAAAGAAATGGGTTAACGGGTTCCCGTTACAACAGATAAAATTAAGCCCGATTCTCAATTCAAAACCGTTTCTTTTTCTGAAATGTTTCCCTGAACGACTTATGGAAATGGTTGTTTTTTGTTAGATTTTACTTAGTTAATCGCGTTGGTAGACGACACGACGTAAGAATTATTATAAGATGCAAATTCAATTAAATATACGTCCTTGTTCTTATAGTTATAATCAGTATTAATTGACTCTAACGCACAGTTCTTTGTTTTAGACTGCCGTTTATACCAAAACCAGTCAACGTACGGTCCCGTGACGTATTTGTGAAGCCACCTAATGATAAGACAAAGAAAGCGCGCTCTATTTTTGAAATTGATTCCTACGGCATTCCTGTGGTTCACGGCGTCCGAGTCCCCGATGACGAAAGTGATGAGAAAGTATGGCGAAATGCTAGAGTGATTAACGGCGAATTGGTCCCTTACGAGAAGGGTTACAAACCACCACCGGCCGTGCCGATTGGCGAATTAGTCTACGCCAGCAAAACACTAAAGGATACCCAAACCGAAAAGGGAATGGGACCGTACACCACGGAGGACAATTATCAAGAATCGGACGATGGTAGTGCATCATTTGGGCCGTTCAGTGTGAAGGATAATAAGGAATTTGAGAAAGTCGGCAACTCCGGGTTAATCAAGTTTAGTAGCAGCGAGGGATTAGGTCCTTACACCGTGGCAGATAACTCGAAGAGACTGATCGATTACATAAAGGAAATTAACGCAAAAGAAGCTAAACGAGATTATTTCACAAGAAGGAAGTTGCGATCGTACGACTCCGCAGAGTATCAGCCACAGCTTCAGAGACGTATGCTCGAATACGCCGGCTCGCCTTCATACCCAAATTCGGTACTTTACAGTTCACCCAACACTAAATTGAGTCACGTTAACTTCAACGAAGGTGTGCGTACACCAATTTTACAATACGCCCATCCGGAACTCGGTGTACAACCGGCCAAAGCAAGTAGGGATGAGGAAGAAACAGCTGAAGATAATGACATTGCCCGATCTCCCTTTCTTAAGGGCGAGAGTTTCGAATCTGGTGGAAGGTACTCACAGTCGCCATACTATACTTCCAATATCAACAGCATTGATTATTACAAAAATTATCCTTACAACGGATACTATCTCAAACCCAAAGTCCAGCAACCGTTTTGGATGCGACTAACCGAAAGTATTAAGGATAACGTGCAGAACGGTTTCGAAAGGATGCAACAACTGACTCGTCCTGTCTTTGATCCGATTGTGGAGGCGACGCACAAAATCACCCACAACCTAGGCCTATCCCATTCTCCCTTACGCGCCCACGACAAAGTCGGGGTTATTACACCAATGGGCGGCTCCATTATCCTCCCAGCGTTAGGTCTTGTCGCCGGTGGTGCGGCCTTAGGCTTAGGCGCGGCGGCTGTCGGGCGATTTTTACAACCGGAAATGAGAGCGTTAGGCTATCCCAACGATATCCTGGTTATAATGGAAGAGCACAACAATCAAGGTGAACAGAGTTCGAGGTTGAAGAGGAGTTTGGACGCGTTCGACGAACAGTACTTGCAAGACGTCACGAATGGCAAAGTGAATGGCAAAGATTTGGAACAGTTGACATCGCCTCATCTATGGGCGGATACTCCGTGCTCGAAAAAACTTTTCTGCGAAGTTATGGTTAGGCAAAATGCTGACGACGTGCTTGTGATGGAGAAAAGAATGGACTCGCTGCTCTCTATGTAAGTAAAATATTTCTAGTATTTAATTATAGCACTTTGATTGAAGATGCCCCCCTCCTCTTCCAACTCATTTTCTCTCAAGCTACTGAGCCGCGCGGCTAAAAATCGAAAATTTTAAAGCAGTTTTAGGGTAATTAATGATCTATTATTTTAATTCCATAAATCTATATTCCGGAGAAACATTTGCCAAAGTGAAGTTGCCCTTGAAAAATTAGTTTGATACCAATGCACCTGTTCTGAATTGAATGTACCTCAATGTACCAAAACTCGATTTCATTGTATACCTACCGTTTTTGGGAAAACCGATCCGAAAAATCATTTACGCGAGCACTAGATAGTATTAACGGGTGCATTATGTTGCATTTGATTTTCCCTCAGGAATACGTAAACTTCTGGACGATTGGAGTCAATGTCATTTTTACGTAGTGCTTTTCAATGAGCTTTTATTTTCTAATGTGTTTTTGGCGTCTAGATAGCGGGCGTATGGATAGGATTACATTCGTTTTAACAGGGATGTAACTTTACATTTCTGAATAAGTTCGAGATGGGTTGAAAAAACAGCACTAACCAATAGAAAATTTAGACACTGAGATTTTTAAATTAATCCGCCGTTGTTTGCGTTCAAAATTATTTTTCGAGGGTTAGAAGCATTCGCGTTTTGAGATTCGACATGACAAGTAAGGTGCTCTAGAAGATTTTCGCGTGTTAATCGTTCGTGTGGCCCAATATTGTTTCCCTCGTATCAAAAGCGACCGATTTAAGGTCCCGTTTCCAAAAACATTGAACCGTGTTGATCGGGAATCATAAGTACACCAATTTACAGAAGTTTCTAAGCTCGTGGATAAAGTTAGGGCGTTATATGAGGTGGAAGCACGCAAAATTATTACCTATGGATAATTTAATAAAAGCCTCACCTTTGGTGTTATACAGTTGCTTAAATTTCAAGGCAGAATTAAACTTAAACCCATCACATTTCGGAAGGAATGTTATTACATTTACTTAAAATACGTATACAGCGTCGAAACGAGACTTTCCCTTTTTTGTAAAAGATCAATAGGGTTATCTGTGAAATTTATGACTGTATTCACTAAATTAGGTGCTAATTAATAAGTTGCAAACAGGAACGAAAGTTTCCTGGTAACAAGATAACAAAACCCCAACGTTTCGCTATATTCAAAATTTTCCCCGGCGTCTACAAATTCCAAGAAGATTTTATGCTTAAAAATTTGGTAAAAGTAGTTTGATTTGGAAAGGTTTAATCAAGTTAATCTTAAGGAGAGAGTGAGCTGGATTGGGTTTGTTGTTATCAATATATATTTACATGAATATCACGTTGGAATTGTTATTATTTCGCAACTAGGAAATTGCAATCACAATAAAAATCCAAAAATTTGAGTAAGGGAAAGGGGCCGTTTCACAGTCAGTTTTTTTCAATCAGTGATTTAATTTCATTTCGTGGTAGCCGGGAATTTTGTTGATGGAATTCAATGTCAAAGTTAAGGCGCGTCAAAGAACGAACCAAGATTTTCATCCCCATGAAATAAGAAAGCATATTTCAATGTTCAATATATCTCCAAACTGCCAATGTACCTCGTTCAGAATTAAATGTATCTCATTGTACCAAAATTCGACATTGTTCGCTACCATTTTTGGAATTTAGAATTTAACCTTAATGTCTCAGGTATAATAGAAAATAATTTGGATACAATTCGGTACAAAGAATTCAGAACCAACATTTTTCTCAAAAGTAAATGACACACGGCGCCATTGTCTACAACTCACCTTCGTCCTATCCCTTATTATGCAAATCTGCAGATACTGAGCTACAGTTTTTCGCACTCGATCCTGTGTTTGGTGGCAGTTTGAAAATATTACAGACTTCGATATGGAAAACCGTACATGTAAATACTCTCAAGAGAAACTTGCAGAAAGCATAAGCAGTTGTTTTAACTTGCTTTATTTGGTAAAACAAATTAAAAAAACTACAATGCGGCATTTGGTGAGTGCCGACAGAAGGGACTACTTCTTGTCGTTAAAGTTAAAAACTTCGCTCTCGCTTCAATTTTCCGCTTACCTCTAAACCGCATGTGGATTCACATAAATTAAGCCTATCTTTTCATTATAACTATCATCGGCCAGCTCAAGTCGATTTAAAAGAAGCACAAATCCTTTCCCATTTGTGAATGGTAACATTCCGAAGTCTCTTACAGAAAGTACATGAAATGCAGTGTTAATTGTCCGGACCTCCTCCAGTCCAAAAGGTATCTGAAGCTCCTGGATACGGTAACCTTAGACTACAGTGGTATTTCGAGATGAATGCCGCTAAGTATCTTTTATCACTTCGGTATCTACCTGTGCAAGGACGAAATAACTTACACTAAAAAAAGGCAGATTCGTACACAAAGAATTGAAATCGCTAATCAACCTAAACGAGTTTAAACAACAAAATGAAAAACAATAACTGGTCAATCTCAAACAAATCAAAATAGGAATAACAATTACATTTGACATCAAATAAAACCAAATTCAAGAATCTCTTTACCCTGAACAGCTGAAGTCGACATAATGTACATACAATAAGTAATTTCAATTAAAACTGAGTATAGATGTTACCTTTTCAAAATGGGCAATGGCACAAATCAAGTTAGAACAAATTGAACTGAATTCAAAGGACGAACCTGCATGAAATCAACAAAAAGCAAACTCGGCAAAACTAATGCAACAGACCATTTCTTCCTTTTCTAAATTATTACATTGTTGAACAGTAATGGCATTGTTTCGTGGTATAGACACAGAGTTGTATATAAGTAAATAGAGAGGCAGTACATACGACCTGCGCGTGGAAAAATAACTCCAACTACAGTGGCCGACTTTTAATGGCGGAGCCGTTGGGACTCATGCGCAGTGCGTGAAAGGGAATCAGCACGATTTTTGGGTGCATTCAGTTACATAATCACAAAACAAAACAGCAATAACTTTTCAGATGCTTCAGAATTCAGATTCATTTGTAAATAAACAGACGCTTTGGAGCAATAATTTATGCATGCCCATTACATTATACTCTACCGCCATTTCAATGTTTAGTAGGCGACGATCTGTACATAAATAAATGATATTTTAAAATGCTCCTAGAAAAGTGCAAGAAAAGATCAAATATATGGGTGGAAGGAAAACTCTTCGCAAGCAATTGTTGAAACTTAGTTTTCGATACAAGAAGTGTCGGGACAAACGTAGGTTGGTAATGGAAAGAAGTGACATTGTAGTATGGCATCTCGTTATTTAAGAAGATTAAAAGAAAATGAACAACCTGAATGTGACAAGAAACCCGTTATATACTTGGACGAAACCTATATTCACCCATCGTACGGAGTAAGTAAATGCTAACAATCAGATGAAGTATCGGAAGTTTATAATAGGGCTGGTCAGAGGTACATCGTAGTATGCTGGTAGTCGTTCTGGTTTTGTAGAGGATGTCGCACAGTAAATCGGGGGATTATTACGATGATATGAATCATACCAACTTTATGCAGTGGTTAGAGAAGCAGCTTATACCAAATTTACCAGCAAACTCAGGCACCTTATCAGTGTTCAAATAAATAAGCCACCAACAATGAATAATCGTAAGGAAGTGATACGTTCTTGGTTAGAAGCAATTAACATTCCTACGACAAATGAATTTATTGACAATGTACAATTTATTGTGAACACCGGCAGTTCCGATGATGATTAGTGGTCAAGTGACGATAATGAATGAAAAAAGTTAAAAGGTTGTGTGTTAATTTAGTCAATGTGAGTGTTATTAATTTCAATGTGATTGTTTCAATAACTGTCCATATTTACACAGCAGAAGTGCATCAGAATTGTAAATTGTGTTGAACATAAACATCTAACAATCTTAAATGTGTTTACGTTTTGTAGAAATAAAATTATTAATTTTACTGTTTCCCCTTGAAGTAATGCAACTCATATCGCGTGGCCCACATTTATATTTAGTAGAGTCAAATTTTGCATGAGAATGTACAGTCTAAATTTCCAACGTCCTCGGACACGCCCTGTCAGGAACCTTCTGAGCGTGGTGCCACTGTACATACCCTCTGCCGATGCTCCATTTTTGAGATATTTGAGTTATTGGCATTTGCAGTTTGTCGACTTTGTGGCTACCCGTATTCAAACTGTGTTTTCGGCATTGCACACCTGAAATTTTGTCCCGCACCAAAATAAAATTTCAACTTATTTTATTCTTTCATTGCTTATTTTTATACTCACTGAGTGCATAAATAGATCTTTAAACTCGATCGCACGACAAATATACCATTTCCTTTATACCAGAATCTCAAAAAATCTTTTCTCGATTCTGATGTTGTAAGCCCCTTACCAGGTTTTATTGTAGTCTACTGTATTAAGTTCTTAACGATTGTAATGTTTCTTATTTATTCAAGACCACACATTGAATTTCTTTTCAAGTTTTGTTGCAATGAAAAACCATATTATTCTCAAGCCGAACCTGCTTTAAGGATCATTTAATTTGAAGCCGGTTCTGTTGTCGATTACTGCGCACACTCACCAACGGCCTGCGCAAGGTTCAATTGGAGTCAATTTTTCGCTACAAGACTGTCTCTCTATTTACTTATATACAACTCTGTGGGTATAGAATGCTTTCTAGAGGTGTCTCTATATACGCCAACGGTACTTGTCGTTTGAAATTTGAAATCAGACATCTCAGTGATGATTTTAGTGACTTATTTTTCGAGGGGAAAAGAAAATAAACATATCGTTTAGGGATTTATTTGAAATATTTTCGGTTTCCTTGTGCCATCTGGTCAAAGTTATAAAATGTTTAAAATAAATTAGCAGAATAAATGAAATGAAGAATGATATACAGGGTGTTTACTTTATACCTATTCAAAATTTTCAAGTTTAAATAGTGTATTTTAATTTGCATTTTAATTTATTTTGTATTTTGTACTTATTATTTACATGACAAATTTGAGTAATGAATGTCTTAAATTGACGAAAACTGGTAATAAGAATGTAATGCATTTGGTAGGCATTTTAATGCTCTACAGCTCTACTTCTATCCTGGTTTTACTTTTCGGTAATTGGAAAATAAAATTAGCAAAGTAAATTAATTTTTGTATTAAAGTAGTGGAATTGTAGGTGACTTCTTCGGAAATGATTGAAAAATAATTGCCGGAGAAATTTATCGCAAATGTGGAAGGCCAACCCTTAATGAATACAATTGTCAATTATTCGCTCTACTTCGAAATCATTATCGTAAAAAGATTCTTCCACTTGAATGACAAGTTAGTATTTTTTAGTGGATGTCACACATAACACCCGTATAGAGATGAATGAGTACCTATCTTGCTTTCTCCAACCTAAATGTTTGCTAAAATTAATGAAGCAAAAAAATACTTTCAATACTTACGCATCGATTAATCAGATAATTTCTCGCTAATCTACCGCATGGGATATTGTTGTGTAACCAACTTATTTCTCTTGTACGAATTTCCGGTATACGCGAAAGCCATTTTCGACAAAGCATCAGGTGACGTTACAATCCCATTCGGAGATCATGAATGAATTCTAACGATTCATTCGAAAATCTTCGGTGGCACTTTGTAACAAATTGGCCTTCCCACGGTGTACCGGACAACAATTAATTGCCCTATTTTACGGAAGGCACGAAAGTGTAATGACTGCGTGCGATGAGGCTTCTCTAATTAAAAAAAGGAACTGTAAAAACGGCACTTAATGGTTAATCTGTGTCTGGGTCAAAGTGAAAGTAACCACTTTCAGCTTGAGGCAGGCGGCATTCTTGTGCATCCATAATGTGAAGTACCTATTGTAACAGTTCTTGGTATCTAATGCATTTTTATTGTTTTTTTTAGAGTGCACCCCAGCATCGTCCAAAGCGTGTCCTACCATTTAGAAGACGTTATGAGCGCTGTCAAGAATAGAAACTGTAATAAATTCGTTTGTAATAGGAGGATACCATTACCATTATCGTAATTAATTGATATTAGTATTCTACTTAATTTTAACTTTTACTTAACCCGTTACATTTTAAAGTTTCAATTTATTACTACAATCACAGTAGTATACTTTTACAAAGTAACCTAATGTAAGTTCGAAATTTATTTATTAACGGATTTAGTTTATTGTTTTGATGCCAAAATACCTATTTAAATTAATTTATTAAGTAAGTTCATGTGTACATAATTTTATCTTTCTAGTATTGTGTATTGTTAACTATGTGTATACTTATACACTGTTGCTGTTAATACGTGTTTGTAAGCATTTAGTTTTTGTACAAATAGATAGTAAATGAGTTCATTTTTCATTTCCTTTTGCTTGATGGTAAGTGTTTATTCTCTGCTCCCAGTAAAATTATGGCATTGACGAACGCACGAAGCCAAGCTTTCTCAACCCCTTTATGGTGATGGGATTAGAATAATAAGTTAATAAATTAAACAAATATAGCAAACGAGCCCCTGGGTATGGATATAGCATGCGCAAAACCAAATTTTAAACCTGATGTTATTTTTGCTTTTATTTAAAGTGTATACCTATGTATGAAATTTCATTTAATTGCTTCCATAAATAAGAAAGTTGGCACTGTACATCCTACACAAAACCAAATTTGGAAAATGTCGCTACATTTGCTTTTATTCCAAGTGGCTATGTATCAAATTTCATTTGAATGCCTCCATAAATAAGAAAGTTGGCACTGCGCATGCGCAAAACCAAATTTTGAAACTAGTGTTAAATTTTCTTTTATTCCAAGTGGCTGTGTATCAAATTTCATTTAAATCTCCATAAATAAGAAAGTTGGCACTGCGCATGTGCAAAACCAAATTTTGAAACTGGCGTTAAATTAGTGGTTATGTATCAAATTTGATTTAAATCCCTTCATAAATAAAAAAATTTGCAATTCGGTCTGTAAATGGTCGAGATGCGCAAAGGGCACTGTGAATGCTGATCGATTAAGCTCAACTTTTGGAATTGTGTTTTATATGGCTAAAGCTATGCTCATATCGAATTTCATGCAATTCGATTCATAACTAATGGAGGTCGAAAGGGCCTACTTTATTTTTTGGGCTACATTGCCAATTCACGAACTCCGATCTACAAATTTGATAAAGAATCCACTTGCGAAATTTTATCGTAATCGGTTCATTCGTTTATGAGTTATCGTGCTAACGGACGGACGGACAGACACCGCAAAATTATAAATTCGCTAGGAGCTCGTTAATAATACGTCAGTGGTATGGTGAAGATCATGGCATTTACTAGTAATAGTGCTTCATTTGTAATCTCCACGAAATTTGGTGCCTGGGTCTTTTTCAACAAAAAATAATGAATCTATAGTTATTTTTGAAAGTTTGACCACTCTAACTTAAATTTTTGGATGGATAGCAAAAATTGGTCAGAATTTAGCAAACCGAATTTACGCGTAAAAGTGGGAGCAGTTTTTTTCGTATTATGCGTTTTTATGTGTGCATTTGATATGAAATCATTTTTTCAAATGTGTTAGAATAATTTTACGATGTTTTCGTTGTGGAGCCAAGAATTGCCGTTAAATGTTTTTACGCATTTTTGTGGATATTAAAAAGTGCCATTGTTTGCGTTTTGTCCGTCCGGACCCACTTTTGCAAATTTTAACTACTTTTTAGGGGAATTGCCCTAGAGCCCTGGATTTTTTGCAATAAGTAGCTGGACCAGAGGGCATTTACATTTTTTTGTCTTCAGGGGGTGCTCCCCATGAATTCTTTCCCAGTTGTAGTTTCTGAAAGTAAAACCTGCCTAACTTTTACATGCGACGACCAATTTATCCCAAATTTTGCGTAATCATGCCTCTAGAACTGATAAATAAAACTTTTGAAATTGGTGAGGGGGGGGGGGTTAGTTACATATACGTTCTGCCCTTCATTCTAAGAATAAATTGGCTATAATCTCCCTTCACGACTCCTTATCGAAATCACCTCCAGATCTAGTCTCGTAAATGAGCGCTATTGAGTTTGAGTACATTTCTTCTTTAAAAAACCCCACTTTTCGCGAAAACTGAAAAAACTAATTTTTTTAGAAATGTCAGCAATGACTCCTATTAAAAGCGAATCGATTTTTTACGACAAACATGTCAAAAGTGCGTTTTGCGCATGTGCACAACTAACTCTCATATTGGTGGTGCGATCGTTCTGAAATGTTGATGCCACTTCTTTCTAATTAATCGCTTATGTCAGACATATTCGTAGGGGGGTAGAATAATATAAATATCTTGAAAATGTGCCAGAAGAGGGAGCTCACAAACGGAAAATGATAGATGTCGACGAGACAAGAGTGAATATCTCGAAAAGGAAGTGTTGGAAAGGATATTTACACAGGGAAAATGATAGGCGCATTCGTCGGTGGGATTAAAACTACAATTGTGAATATCTAGAAAACGGAGTGTCAGAAAAGGACATTTTTTAATGTTGAAGTATACACTATGGCTCTGATTTGAAAAGATTCTCTCCTTTTGTGACTTGGAGGTTGTTGAAACAGCACTGGCAGTTCGGAAGATGACTGAAAAATTGATGGGGATGCTGGAGATTTTGTTGTTAGTCCCGGCTGGCCGCGTTACCGACAGTATCCGCATATGCTTGTTGTGGTGAGTGGACTGCCTTATACGCTAATCCACCTGTCAATCAGTGCTCTAGCGATAGTGCTAGTCTGTTGGTCTCGCAAAGGGTGACCTCAAGCCATCTGGTAACCTTACCCCGCTGACAGGGTTCGCAGGAACGCGCCCAGCGGTTGAACTCAGGGGCGCCGGAAGAAAATGCGCTAGGGAGGGGCCCTTACATTTTTGGAATAGAAAATGTTACCTAACTATTTTAAATTAGTAAATAAGTACATATTAGACACAAAACAAAACAAGAATAAAAGTAACAAGTTACAGTAGTTTACCGAAAAAAAATGACATTAATAGCACTATATTATAAAATTTGCTGTGGTTAGCACAGATGCCACCCGCACACCGGCGCATGCGCGTTCTACCTTCTTTTGGGACTAACAATATTTGTACCAAATTTGGTTCCAATCGGTTCAGCCGGTTAGGCGTTAATGAGAGTTTAACACACTTGCGCATGCGCTATTCTCCCCGAAAGCTTTTCAGCTTTTCCTTTTATATCTAAGAATCTGTGTACCAAATTTGGTTACAATAACAGTACACTACAGACAGACCGACAACATCAAAATTTTGTTGGAATCGAAATCCTGGTGCTTCGAAAGGTGTATTTCCGTAAAAAAGTGGGGGAAGGGGCATTTTTTACCCCAATGCAATACCTCCTTTACTAACGTGCGGGTGATAAAAATTACAGTGCGTAAGGCAAATTCGAGGGCAAATTGTAACATTAAACTGTTTCTAAATAATTTTTCTACTCAAAACTATAACAAATTACCAACCATAATGTTATTGATTACAATGTTGAATAGTAGAATAAAACAATTTAATTATTTCGAAAGAATAAAAATTCCTCTTACGTGATGGTTTTGTACGTCTGCCTGTCCGTCTGTTCCTCGTCTTAACTCGAGAACGAAAAGACACAGAGATGTCAAACTTTCGCCAATCCATTTCTACGAGTTCAAGGATCAGTGCTATTGAATATGAGCCGGATTAAAAGTCTGATTTCCCAATACGAGCTGAGTAACAAAAAATTCCCCCACTGAATCGTATGTGATTCTTCGTATATTTGTAACATCTAGTGCCACCATTGTAACCCTTAAGGGGTGTTTCTCTCGGTATTGGTAGCAAAAGGTGTTATTGAGTAGGGATTTCAATTAATGAACGCTTGGGAATGCTAGGGAGTACCTGGGCTATATTGAAGTAACTTCCAAAACGTTTACAGTGGTATTACAACATCAACATAAAGAAATTTTCTGGGTAGAAAGAGTAAAACGCAGGGACCAATTACAAATTACAATATCAATGAAAACTAATAAACTTTGGGACTTACCATGTCGGTTCTGTTCACCAACCCAATCACTACTGACTAATTTTTTCTAGCTCACGAGGTGCCTCAACCTTTTTACCGCCTGATAAGCAATTTCCTATATCGACACCTCTTGGCTAATTCTACTTGTGCTACATTCAATTTTGCATTTTTCCCTTGTTACGAAATTTATTTTTATAAATGTCTTTATAGGCCCTGCGTTATATATTCATCACTTGATGTGCATCTATTCCATAACAAGGTAAAAACGTGGTCACTCGAGACCGACGGAAGCGCATTTTCGCCGCACAGAATCAGTAATAGCTCGGGAAGAAAGAGACTAATCCAAAAAATCTTTTGTCGTTCTGGTCTCGAGGCTGTGCTACACCGTATAAGAAAGAAACTACAAGGAAAAGCTTATAGTGGAGGACTAGTAATGGTAAAAACGGACAAAGCGCGGACAATAGCGTTCATTTTACTTTTGGAAAATGCGCTAAAAAGCGCCGAACCGAAATATGTAAGTGACATGACAGTATTGTCATTGACGTTTTTCCAAAACAAACAGCTAACTTGCGGTCTTCGGTAAATTTAATCTCTGTAGTCTATACTCTATACAATAGGGCAACTTTATGGACATTGAGGTAACTCAATAAGGTTATAAAAGGTTTACCTACTTTTGCTTTGTCACCGAACAGCGATGGGACAGAAAAAGGTGGCTGTGTTCTGGTTTTATTGTGAGCTTTCATCATTTTCTGAAATGGATTAAGTGATTTCTCAAATCCCAGGGAGGGGCCCGGGCCCCTCCTTGCCCTTTAGTAGCGGCGCCCATGGGCTGAACTCCTCACATATGCCTGAGCATATGCCTGACCAGACAAACTTCGACGCAACTAGTCCCACCGTTGCTTGACTTGAAGTATCGTAGACTGTAACGTCGTCAATAATCAGCAGCTGTAGGACAGGCTAGAGTTTTCCTGAACATGCAGGAGTTCCTGGTAGTCAGCTTGAAGGCGGCGGACAGAGTGTTGCCGACATTGAGATTGTGTCCACTCGTGAGAGAGCGTCTGCTACTACATTATCTTCGCTATTGACATGTACTAGCCCGGTGTTAAACTGAATACAGCTTAAGTGGCGGGCTGTCTGGGCTATGCCCTGTCGGAGCTTTGAGACGTTGAAAAGATCAGAAGTTTATGGTCCGTAAAGATCGTGAAAGTTCTCTCTTCGAGGATTCTCTGCAAG